GGCGTATTGTTAGGAGGTGGGAGAAGTGCTTCCTTGTGCGACGCCTCCCGGCAAACTGTGTCAAGAACCGCTGGGCGAGTTCTTGCCATGAATCAATACAGCCCTCGGGCAGCCTGTTGAACAATTCGTATGCTGGCCCCTCTAAGGTGGAGAGGAACCAACGACACAAATATTCGTCCGACGCCCCCACCATCATCATGCTGTTCTGGTACTTGCTGTAATGTTCCTGGGGTCCGTTTTTCCGTTGTAGGGCTGTATATGTTGTCCTCGGTATTTTTCCGGGATCCGGGCCGCCAATATCCTTGGAGTAAATGGCGTCCGAGTCCGGAGCTGGATGACGGGTTCCCCGGAGCCCTCGGCCACCTTCTTCTGTAACTCCTCAATTTTGGCCATCATGGCCTCGTATTTGAGATCTGAATGAGGGGTGGAGGTGGTGGCGTGAGCTTTGTTGGACTCCATCTCGTCAAGCCGGCGTTGGAGGGCCGCAATAATCTCGTCCCGGGGGTCCTTCGGGAGGGTCTCCGCCCCCTGCGAACGAACCCGGGCCGAGTGGGCCTGGTTGATTTGGTGCCGAGCATCATCGGCATGAAGGGGTGCCTTGCCTTTGTCCCGAGGGGGACGCTCTTCGTCTGCCCTCGAAACGGATCCCCCGCTTTCCTGGGGCCTTTGGAGTGCTTTCCCCCCGAGACGGTCTTGGACCCCTCGGCGGTCTGGCCCTCCTCCGAGCCGGTTGAGGGCGGAAGTACGGGGCCTTTCCCTGTTGTCATTATGGCGGTCCCGGGACTGAACTTCCTGGGAGGACGTATCTTGGGCCACCACCCCTTCGTCGTTTCTCACCCGAGGGGTGGGATTTCCGAAGGGGTGTGGCAGAGGGGGAAGTATGATATTTTCCCCGATCTGAGGGTGAGCTGGAGCCAGGGTGCCGAAGGCACCCGGGTTCTGGGTGAGCGTCTGGATGAAGGCGGAGAGCGCCGATTGCACGTCGATGGTGAGAACCGGAGGGCTGACTTGGTCATCGCTCCGGTTTTTCTTCTTGGCCTCGATGCCGAGGCGGGCATCGGGGGCATTTTGTTGGATCTGAAGGCGTAGGTCGACAGACGCCTATTCCAGCCCAGCGATGACACCGCCCTCGGGAGCCCTGTGAGAGGCTTCGGGGGCGTTGACGTCGCCGAGGGCCAGGTTCTTGTCTTCTACGTTCTTTGAGTTGGCACGTGTTGTCCTCACCATTTTGATAGAGGGATAGTGTTTTGTGTTTGGTCGAGGGGGAGGGTTTCTTACTTGATTGTTCGACCTCTCAACGAGAGCACCAAATGATGGATAGGCTACCCGGGGGTATATATCCGAAGGGTTATTACGGGGAATAACCTAGAGAGAAGTCGGAGCAAGTAAGTAAAAGTAGAGAGAGAGTGTATTCAGTATGAATGCCGTTTTCAGCCCGGTTACAAATGAGGAAATGGGGTGCTATTTATAGTAGCAATAAATGCCGGGCAGGGACACGTGTCAAGCGCTCATTGGCCGAGGGGTCACCTCAACTGGTTGGCGTTGGCAGCCGCATGTGGCCGCATTTAATGCGGCTGTTGGATGGGACGTCTATGCGGGATACAGTGATCTGTACGCATGTGAGGCGGATATCTTGTCGAGTGAGATGCCTTCGGCTATAGAGCAGTAGCCGAGGGCTCTTCCACCCGATGGCACCCTGGTGCCGAGGGCTCACAATGCCGAGGGCTACTGTTTTCGCCGTTTTCTCCCAGTTTCTTAATTTGCTTGAGAAACCCGTTCTGTGAGAATTTGGAGCCTTCGGCCAGGGGGCCGAAGGCACCCCTGGCGCGTAGTGCGGACTGCTTGGTACTCTGGGCGCTGTGATTTGGGCCTTTTGGGCCTTCGCTGGAGTAGTAGGAGTCTGTGGGCCGGGGGTTCCCGGGCCATATACTCCATCAAGCGGAAAAAACTTCTCCAAGCTACACTAGCGAAAAATTCTCACCCTTTACACTCATGAAAATATTTTGCCCTCCTTGACCAGAAATCCTGGATCCACCCCTGATCCCAGATCTCTATAAATTTAAGAAAACATTTAAACACATATCTTACCGTGCGATGCACGGGTATACATACTAGTTATACATAAAGAGAGAGATCAAAAGTGAATCAAGCTGACTATTAATTTATGGCTAATTCATTCAATTAGATCAAAATTTGATGGTTAATTTATACATTATGAGCATTTATTGGAGTTATTGCTGCATTTATACTACGGGGTCTATGTTTAGCACATTGATATTGTCACGCCCCGGACCTACCCGGACACGTCAACAATCCGACGTACAGTACGAATAGTCAACCGCAGTCCAACTCATCCATACTATACAAGGCGTCTTGAATACCATTCACACATAGTACATCCATAAACAAACATAATGTAAAACATTTATTAAAGCAGTGGAAACAGTTGATACAAGTGTTCAAGCCACACTTGGCATAATTTGGCATGCAAGCCCCCAAAGTAATTATTCAGAAAATATCATCCATGAGCATTGTTTTAAATTGTTTTCAAAACAGAAACGGAAGAAGCGCGAACCACGTCTTCTCCCTTCGATCTTCCCGAAGCAACGGGCGGTGACAGCAACCTTCAAGTTCTACCTGAAACTGTGAGGTGGCCTCCCCCGTGAAGGGGAGGTCAGTACTTGGAAACATTTGACAAGTACAATAGCAACTATACTAAGTATAATCAATGTTTAAATTTCTAAGACCCTCAATTCAGGGCGATATTACATTATAGGCCATAACCCTCGGTTACCCCTTTTTGCTATTTAAATCATACTTACTTTATATGAAGTCAAGTAGTCGGCCCGGGGGCCCATATTCATTTGGAATTCATCATTTCCATTCCCCCGTCACCGCAAGTCACGATAACCCCGTGGGGTCCCATCGAGCCCCAATTGTATAGCAAGGTCTCGTCCCAACTACATTTCTATACAATCCTCTAACTCAATATAACACATCAAAATTGTATGGCAAGAGCTCGGCCCAACTACGTTTCCATACCAACCATAACTTCGTGGCAAGGGCTCGGTTCAACTACGTTTCCACGAAGATCACAAATACATGGCAAGGGCTCGACCCAACTACGTTTCCATGCTAATCATATTACATGGCAAGGGCTCGGCCCAACTACATTTCCATGTCATCCTAGAGTCCAACTCTAATTATTTTCATAATCCAATTCTCAAGCAAATCCTATGCCTAGAATCAATTCCCTTGAGTAGCCTTTAGGCCTACCCCTAACACACCTTAGTGTTCATACAATTCAACCTTAAAGTATCTCTTGAGACTACTTAAGGCATGTCTATTCACAATCCTACCTCTTAGGATTTATTTCATCGTTTATTGATATTAATCCCCCGACTAGTATTTTGATACTAGTTGGATAATCTTAGAACATGCCAAGTTCCTATTTCCCAATTGACATTTCACTTCAATTGATTTTCCAACCCAAGTATGGTTTGATCCCAATATCAAAAATATCACTTTAATCCATTCATGAATTTCATACATGAAGTAAAAGTATATCTCATCACAATATCATCATAGTTAATTCCATTAACATGCCGTTCCATTAATTTCACATAATCATACACAATTATTCTAAATTTGTATGTCATGCTTCACTTACTCATATCAGTATTATTTTCATTTAGGCATTATTAATCATTAATAATCCATGAAAATCCCATTTAATTACCTTAGGTAATCTTATGAAATTAACTCACTAATTATAAGCGATATAATCAGCCATCCTCACATCGTGATGTGCTACAATAGTTGCCCTTGTTAAGCCCCTCGATCAATCCCCGTTATAGGCCGATTGAAAGTGAAAATCTGGACTGTTGGGCCAAAGCCGGGCGGCTTTCACGAAAGCCGGGCGGCTTTCGTAGTCTGCAACTACGAACAACTCCCTATATGTGGCGGTTTCCGGCGATTTCGACTCCTATCGATTCACCAACTCTTCTAAGTTAATTACCACCACTTTGTATCAATATTCTACACTTTTAAACGTGTAGAACTCATGGTTTAATCCACCATATGATTTCTCAAAAATCATACACAATAAACTAGTTAAAAGATTGTTTGTTGAGTTCTTACCTCAAGAACAACCCCTCTTTCCTTGGATTTCCCTTGTTGTTGCTTCCTCCACACTATGGATTAGCTGAGAGAGTTTTCTGGAGCTCCTTCCTCTTAGTTGGTTCGAAATTATGCAAGAGAAAGGGTGGGGGAGTGCTCTACTCAATCACCTCCTATCAAAGGTGGGATAGGAACACGGGGTGTGGGATTTGTCTCTTGGAGACTTCCCACCTACTATGTACGCCCCTCCCAGCTGCCTTCTGGTCATTTGTGATACATAAAATCGTGTGGTGGCCCCCACTCATGTGGGAGGTCATCTCCTTATGCCCCGATGTGTATAATCGGCCCCGAAAGTTGTATTTTTCGGACTATTTAAGTCATATTCTATTTTATTGGCCGGATAAAATATATCACGCGCTCCCAATAATTATGAGCCTTTAGAATAGATGTACATTCTCCAACATTAATTTAGGAGTTTCCGAAACTCATTTCGGGCTGTTATCCGCTAAATTATCAATACCGGAAATTGGGCCTCATTTGACCCCCCGGTCAACTCCATGCCCTTCCCATGGCCCAAATAAAATATCCACCTCCATGCCCTCCCTATTCACGTAAAAGAAATAATAAAATTTAACCATTACGTAATTTCATAAATTATCTTTCAATGTTTACTACATCATTTACTAAAAGTAAACATGCTTGGGGACGGTGTCACAGATATATATGGATTTAATTCTCTATTTATATGTTTTAAATCTATAATAACAGAATTATCAATTCGCCCTTAAACTCTAAAAAGCTCCAATTCATTCCATGTACTCGACAAAAAAATTCAAATATCATTTTTATAGGTAAATGTCCGGTCACCACCATGTCAGTCGATCAAATACCAATCGTGCATCCATCGTGACAATTTAAGGGGTAAAATAGGCCCTTGAACCTGACAGAGTTGTTCAAAACTTCAAATTGCCCCCCTCAACTGTTAAACTGTTTAAGAATTTCCAAAAATTAAGAATTTAAAAATTATAAAATACAAAACCAGAGTTTTGCACAATAGGTGTTTGTCAAAATGACTGAACCGTGTTTCTTAATTCATTATATCCGAAATTGCAAAAAATGTATCTTTTTACTGAAAAGATATGATTGCATTAAGTCTAAGCAAATGAAATGATGTTGAGGAAATACATACTTTAAAAAAAAATGGAAATACCTTCACTTAGCCAAGAAGTTTTTTATTGTTATTTTTTATTTCCATTCTATAAGACCTAAGAATTTGTTGTTTATGTTTTCTTTGTTTCAGATTGTACTTTTACTTTCTCCCAGATTGTGCATAATGGCAGTATCGTTTGGAATTTGCTTTCATTTGGGTCGAATTTTTGTTAGTGAGGAACCAATTAGATATGCAGGTGAGGTACAATGTTTGACAAAGAAATGGGAGGAGGACCCAGATTTGTTTTGTGAGTTTGATATATTAAATTTTCTTCAAGAAAATGGTTTTAGGGAACCCGTTATGATGGCTTATAAAGCAGTCCATCAAACACTGCCTATTGCCGGTAACTTGCTAAAAGGCTCTAATGAGTTTGTGAAGATGATAAAGATAGCGTGTGAGCAAGGCATAGTGGATATATATGTGCAAGAAAAAAAAATCTGAAGTACAAAAAGAAGCAGGTCAACCTCTTGGTGGCGTGACTTCTGAAATTGCAACAATTAATATCTTAAATGCATCAATAGATGAAGAATGGCTGGAGAAAGTACTTGAAGCGACCATTGTTCATAAAAACAATTACCCCCAACAAATCGAAAGTGAAGACCATTTAGGGTATAATCAGGATACACATGTGGAGGCATTGGCAGATGCAAATGAAGAGTATATAAATGATGCAGAAATTGAGGTAGAAGAAGAGGTATTTGTGAGTGGTAATGACTGCAGTTCAGACGAGGAGTTAACGGGTGCAAGAAAACTCGTGAAAGAACTTAGAAGAAAAAAATCTTCTGGTTTTGATATAAATGAGGATACGGTTACACATTTATCACCACTTGAAAAAAGTGGTGAATGTGATGACTATTGGGACAGAGAAGGGCAATACTATCAAAGTGATTACAACTCCACAGAGGATGAACAAGATAGTCCAGTTCCTAGTGGCTGCTTATGAAGACTTTAACTCCAAAGGGCCTACAAAATTTTGCAAAACTTTCTTTAGGTGCGTTATTAAATCTGCTATTTAGTTTGTAGTTATGAAATTTTAGTAAGGACTGCATATTAAAATAACATTTATGTAGGTACACTGTGAGGTGTGATGCATCTGAGAATAACATGTGTGAAGCTTTTAACGGAACAATATGTAGAGCACGAACTAAACCTCTAATCCACATGTTGGAAGATATACGCAATTATGTCATGGAGAGGATATATAGCAAGCAGAACCTTATGTCGCATGATCTTGTAGATGATACATTATGTTCAAGGATAAAGAAGAAGCTGGAAAAGCTAGTTGGGTTTTCTGCAAGAAGTGTGGCCAGACCTTCGGTTGGTGGATTATTCCAAGTTCATGAAGGTGTAGATGCGTATTCGGTATGCTTAAATGAACGAACATGCACTTGCAAAGCCTGGCAATTGACTGGACTACCGTGTAGACATGCCATTGCAAGCATAAGTTTCATGAGAGTGGATCCTTGCACTTATGTTGATGATGTATATCGAAAGTTCACACACAAGAAGTATTACAGATTAGGCCTCCCACCAATGAATGGAGAAAGAATGTGGCCTAAAGTTCCTGGAGAACCTATTAAACCGCCGCCATATCGAGTCATGCCGGGTAGACCCAAGAAAAACTAAAAGAAAGCACCTGAAGAAGAGCCGAAGATCTCACACACTTTAAAGAGATCTGGACTAAAAATGAAATGTACTAACTGTAGTACATATGGGCATAACAAGAGAAAATGTCCCCAACCTTTACGAGAATCGGATCCACAACCGAAGGTAGCAAAGTAGTTATTAATCCTTGCATGAAACTATTTATTAATAATGAAGATAGATTAACTGAAATTTAACTTGTAGAGAAAAAGAGGAAGGCCCCTGAAACCGTGTACTCAACAATCTACTGAAAAAATTACCAAGGGTAATAGAGGAAGACCGACAAAGAGCCCTAGGCACTCAATGAAGGTTGCATCTGGCCCAAATACAGAAGGTGCACATTCCATGGAAGGAACACACACTACCATGGAAAGCAACATACCAGTTTAGTTGGAGTTCAAAAATTGAAGGTTGGATATATGTTCAAGATTTTTAAGATATTTTGGAACCATACATGTTATTGAAACTTAATCTTTTGGAGTCATACAATGTTTTAGTCATTTTGTAAGAGACTTTGATATTTTAATGTATATTGTGAGTATTGATGACATTTAGATATAGTCATGAGAACATCCATCCATTTGCCCCTCCAATTGTTGTTTTTGGAGATAGGTTTTTGAGATTCCATGTGAGCATATGCAACCTTTACTTGTTGAATTTCTTCCTTCATTAGATTTCTTTTATTGGAATATAAAACTATCATTTCTTCAAACTCTCTCAATTTGAGTTCCAATTCTTTAACCTTGTCATTTAAGGTATTTATTTTATGTTGTCCATCAACGTGCTTCACGAGAGGCTCATTGACGTCTTGGTGCAGATCTTCCATCCATAAAAAATATCCACAATCCTTTTATTTAACTTAGAAATCATTATACTTCATTCACACATTTCATCAAACAGCTACTATGCTATATAAGAATCAACTTATTACTTTGTCACACAAACCTCGCCCGCCAATATGAGCACTTGATAGATTCTTTGTTTTTTGTTTTCATTGTAGAAGTAGCTTAAATATCAGAGAGGTAGGGTTTGTGTTCTCAACTCAAAGGAGAGAAATGAATCCACGTTGTTTTTACATAGAAATAAATATTAGAAATGACACATCAACTAATTAATTAGAAGGCTAAATCCTAGGTGTACAAGACACATAGGCACTTAACGGAAACTAACGAATCAGCTTGGATGGATCATATATTTGTCTTGCATATTGAAAGGATAGTTGTGTTTAAGTAATTATGTATACGATAGACTAGATTTGTCACGAACTCTAAACGTTGGATTTGTTTTGTGTAATAAGCCAATATAAAATAAGATATATGTCGAAAGTATAAAATATAGACATCTATTAAAAAAATAATAAGGATATATTTATACTTGCGGTAAATGCATAAAAAAATAAACCATTTTTTTTATTAAAACTATTTGGGAAAAGGGTCAGATAGGCCCTCGAACTTACATAAAAAGGTCATATAAGCCCTTATATAGGAGGCTCTGTCCGGCCGTCACCATTTGGGACGGTTCCCATTAAAATTTTATGATAAAAAAATTTGTTGAGCATCTTATTCATTAAGTCTAGTTTAATCGTACCAAATTCCTGCTAAGACTTCAATCGGGAAGGTATTCAAATGAATTCTTGAAGATAACTGCGCTTTTAACAACTCTGTCAAGTTCAGTGGCCTATTTGACCTCTTAAATTGCCATGTGAGATGCAAGATTGACATTTAATTAACCGGGTGATGTGACGGTGACCGGATTTTTACCTACAAAAAATGAGATTTGAACCTTTTTGTCGAGTTCAGATGATGAATTAGAGTTTTTTTAAAATCAGGAGGCGAATTGACTATTCTGGATGGGTATAGTGGACTATTTAACCCTTTAGTCCAGCAGAATTGATGTGGAGGGAAATGATAAAGAGATCGAACAGTCGAGCCGTCCTTGGTTTTAGAGGGTCTAATTTCCTAATTTCATAAAGGAGTTTCTGAATCCGTCGAATGGTGACGAAATGCTCGGGAGAGCTTGAGCCGTGTTTTTTTTAAATAAACAAGTCTCATTATAAAAACATTCACGTTACTCTCGAAAATACTAGATTTAAATTCATAGTTCTCGATATTTATATTGTTCTTGTAATTGATCCCAATTGTGGTACATATTTCTTTTAATTAGTTTTAGCTTGCGTAAGTTATCTTAAACATTGACGTGAATAAGCCAAGCCTTGCATTAGTACGGGTAGTTTCATTTTGAAACAAAGGTAGTACGGGTAGTTTTGTAACTTGATTCACCTTGCATGAATTTGTGTATGTTAACCGGGGAGAACTATCAAATAAGGAGTGCGTATACCGTGCAACCGGTATACGGTGAGCACCGTATACCGGTACGGATTTATATTTTTTTTTCTTTTTGTTTTTAAAAAATGGTAATAACTTTTTTATTTTTGATCCGATTTTTATAAAAATTATATCAACATTTTTTATTTTTCATGATCTTTCAAATGAGACCAATATTGCCTATGTAATTTTAACATATTAACATTTGCGTGTAAAATATGTAACTTTACGTGTTAAAATATGTAACTCACGTTCAGTCAGGCCAAATGCAACTCGTGTGTATAAATATGTATCTCTACGTGTAACAATATGTAACTTTACGTAAAAAAATATGTAACTCGCGTTCAGACAGGTCAAATGCAACTCGTGTGTATAAATATGTAACTCGCGTGTATAAATATGTAACTTTCACAAACCTATCATCTCCCAAACAGATTCGATTTTTCTTATAATCCAATACTCATTAATATAATAGTTCGATAATTTCTTAAAATTACATACACAATATTGGTCTCATTTGAAAGATCATGAAAAATAAAAAATGTTGATATAAATTTTATAAAAATCGGATCAAAAATAAAAAAGTTATTATCATTTTTAACAACAAAAGCAAAAAAAAAAGTCTGATTCTATGCCGTTTTTGCAACCGGACGCACCATCCTCATGGTGCGCCGGTTGCACCATATAATTTGCGTCAAATAAACTTCAACTTTCATAAAAAGTGCAAATAAGACTTTTTACAGGAATCTTTGTCCGACTGTCGTCATTTGGAGTGGTTTCCGGTGGAATTTTTTGATGAATTTTTTTGAATCTTCTTCATTAAGTCTAGTTATCTATACCAAATTTCAACTAAACATTTAATCGAGAAGGCAGTCCAATGATTTTCTGAAATATATTGCGCTGCCTAACTGCACAGTTATCTTCAAAAATTCATTTCTGAAATATACTGCGCTGCCTAACTGCCCAAAAAAATACGGGGGAAAATAGGCTTAAAATTATTTTTTTATATGTAGTGTGAGTAGACTTTTTTTTTTTTAAATTTCTAAGCTCACTTTGTTGGCTCAAGGTTTAATTTTTAAAATAAATGTGAAGTGGCACACCTCTTTTAATTTCTCTTCGGATCTCTAGGTTTTATAATTCTTTTAATTACAAAATTACCAAGTCATGTTTGGCCTCCCAAGTCCAAAACTCCCTGATGGATAGTCTACCCGGGGGTATATATCCGAAGGGTTATTACGGGGAATAACTTAGAGAGAGGAGTCAGAGCAAGTAAGTAAAAGTAGAGAGAGAGTGTATTCAGTATGAATGCCGTTTTCAGCGTGGTTACAAATGGGGAAATGGGGTGCTATTTATAGTAGCAATAAATGCCGGACAGGGACACGTGTCAAGCGCTCATTGGCCGAGGGGTCACCTCAGCTGGTTGGCGCTGGCAACCGCATGTGGCCGCATTTAATGCGGCTGTTGGATGGGACGTCTGTACAGGGTACGGTGATCTGTACGCATGTGAGGCGGATGTCTTGTCGAGTGAGATGCCTTCGGCTATAGAGCAGTAGCTGAGGGCTCCTCCAGCCGATGGCACCTTGGTGCCGAGGGCTCACAGTGCCGAGGGCTACTGTTTTCGCCGTTTTCTCCCAATTTCTTAGTTTGCTTGAGAAACCCGTTCTGTGAGAGTTTAGAGCCTTCGGCCAGGGGGCCGAAGGCACCCCTGGCGCGTAGTGCGGGCTGCTTGGTACTCTGGGCGCTGTGATTTGGGCCTGTTGGGCCTTTTGGGCCTGTTGGGCCTTCGCTGGGGTAGTAGGAGTCTGTGGGCCGGGGGTTCCCGGGCCATATACTCCATCAGGAGTCCCTCACTCCTTTTGCCGAAAGGTACTTGAGGGAAAAGGAGTAATTTGTGCTTGCCCTTTGATGTTGTCCCGTCGTGATCTCTGAAGTTGGTGAGGAGTTGTTGCTTTTATGTCCCTGCCGAAGGCAGTCCCTCAGTTACCCACATGTCGGGACTTGTGGGCTTGCCTTGTCGTTTGTTGGAATTTCACTAATTTTGTAATTTAATGATTTTCCCGAGGGGGTCCTCCAGTCCCCCACTCCTTGAGGCACTTGTAAAGTGGTGAAAAGGAGTAAAGTAGTTACGTTGCTGTTGTGGGCCGAAGGCTGACGCTTTTCGTTTCATTTTGGGGGGATGCCTCGTTAAAAACCTCATTAGGAAAAACCCTGGGGGAAAAAATCCTAATGAGGGAAAAAGAGTGCACCGAATTCCCCCAATGATGAATCGAAAATGTGAAACCTTGGTCAGAAATGGAGAACAACGGTAATGCCGAAGGCTCTTCCTTGTTCTGAGGGCTCCTGTGTTGATTAGTCGAAGGCTTGTTGTTGATGTCCTGGGGGCGCCGAAGGGGAGCCCTTCAATCCGGGGATCGAGGGCCTGCTAGATGAGGGCAGCAGTGGAGTTGTTACCGGGGGGTCCACTGTTTGTTGATTAGTTGGTGATGAAGATACCCGAGGGCTCCCATTACCTGTGCGCCATGGGTCACCCGTCAATGAGGCAACTCCCCGGGGGCTACCCGGTTTTGCAGTGCTGAGGGGGAATCCCCGAGGGGTGCCCTGATATGAAGCCTTGAGTTTCTGAAGGGGTGATCCCGAAGGCATCTGCTATGGGCTGTGTGGGGCACAACCCGGGGGCGTCTCTGGGTAAGTGTACCCGGAGGCTCTCCTTGATGTAGCGGAGTGCAGTAGAAAACCCGTGGGCTTCCAGAATATAGTCGTTGGAAATATAGCCGTTGGAATACGTAACGTCAGGATATAGCCGTTGGGGGGGGGGGAACACGTGGCGCGTGATGGCTGGCTGTCCGTGGGCGGCATCACTGGTTGGGTGAGGACGCGGTGTGTAATGATGGCGGTCCATCCGGAGGCCCGGAATCCAGGCCCAAGCCCGGATTCCATCGCCTATAAATACCCCAAGGCCAGGGCCATTCCCCGCTGTGCGAACTCAGTGTAGCGAAGCTCTGGCAAAAATTCTAGAGAGAGAAACTCCAGCCTTCGGTAACAACTCAGCTTTCAAGGTCAGTTCCCCCCCGCCTTTCTCCTTCTAGTTTAGCTGTGCCTTGTGCCCATAGGTTAGGAGATAGAATTTCCTAGGAAACCTTAGTTTTCCTGAGCCTTCGAATTAACGAGCAGATGTCATCACAGAGCGACTCCCAGGATATCTTGGGGGAGCCTTCGGTAGAGATGGAGACATGCTCAGATGTGGAGTCTTCGAGCGTGGAGTCCTCGGCAGGTGGTGATGCCGCAGTGGCCATGGAAGTGGAGAAGGAC